TAATAAAAATTCCAAATTACATTACATTGAACAAGTCAATCCAATGAATTTGAGGACAGCTTAAAACAGATAAGATTCCTTAATATGAGCCGCCTTAGTGTCTGATTGTATGATTGTATACCTAGTTAAAAATTACTCTAAACTCATATTAAAAAATAAGATAATCACGTTAAAACGGCGGATCAAACAAGAAACGAACATTTATCGAACCACACAGTCAAGGTCGAACGAAAATCGCTCTATATAGGGAGATACAGTTATGAACTACATATCCTTATGAGGTAATGTTACCAAATTAAAGGTTACTGATAATTATACTTTGCATTATTGCAGTATATGTAATAATTGTAGTATACGCCCCTCACTACTTCTCAGGAACATAGGCCGTTCTATGAGGTCTCCATGGCCAATAGAGGCTATGGGGAGAGGGAGCCAACCCATTACCCAGCTTCCTCCCAACCGTGAGATTAGGACAAGCCACAGCACAGGCAACTACGTTTCCTGCTTGTTGCGATTAGTGTGATGCGGGTCCTTTTATGTCCCCTTCAAGATTTTTACGTGTGTAGGTAAAGGAGACAAGGCCAACGGTTGAACGTCACAACCTAATTTCGAAATCATCTGAGCTGAAGCAATTGTTTAACACACAGCCAGCATATGGATGATCTAACCAATTCTTTTAAGACCTTAGTTTGTGGTCCGGTCTGAGGTTTGAACCCACGACTTTCCGCTCAGCAGCCCAGTGCACTTACCACTAAGCTAACCGGACGGTGGTTATATAACATGCAGTACATCCCTTTCTATTTTGCAGAAGTCACCTCTTACGATAAGAAAAACTAGTCTTTTTCTGAGCTGGAATAGCCCCACTTGTCCCCAGTATTAGTCGGGTGTAACAATGACAACAGAGCAAAGGTGATGACGCTTGTAAGATGGCCACCCTTAATTAAGTGCTCAGTAGCACTAACGGTAGGCGTAGGTGTTTATAGAGTAAAGTATTTCAATTTTTTTTGTGTTGAATTCTACGTGCTTCTAGAGGATAATTTAGAGGTCCAATCTCGTGCCGCGAGTCCTCGTTCCCTACTGCGCAAGCTTGAAGAAACGAGCGACACTCGAAAGATCCGGTAGGTTTGCGATTCTCGTTGACTTTTTCAAACAATACACATGACCGGAGGTAAAGCAAACTCCAACATGGCATTGAACTCTAAGCATGGGCGATGGACTATTCAACCGGAAGTCCAACATTTTCGAACTTTCGGATCAGAGCTTTCCAGAGTCGCTCGTTTTCCGACCGCTGGACAAGGGAACGAAGAATCTGGGTACGAGATTGCTAGAGGACAGACGCACGGATGATGTCATTGAAAATTGTTTTTGTTTTTTCTCCAAATGGCGGAAAGTTTTGAAAATCTCGAGGATCGAATTTATTCAAGACTGTGCGCGCAGGCTTGTAGAAAATAGTGTTGTTGGCTCGTACCAAATGAGGGAACTCCAAAAAGGAACCTCTTTTCCGACGTACGAGATCTGTAGTTGGAAAAAAAATCCTCGAACAGTCACAGTCGAGCGATTTTTTTAGTGTATAAAACAAAAAGATTTTATTTTGCCGTGCGTCTGTTCAGTAATAGATCACAGAAGACAACAAACGTTGACAACTTCAGTGTTAAATTGATATCCATTAGGGAAATAACTCATTTTGAATAGACTACTTTCATTTTACATCGGAAAAATACGCCAATAGACTCCATGTAGAAGCTGTGTAGCTGTCAATTGCTTTGAGCTTCGGTTTTTGGTGTCCCTAAATTGCGGTGTAATCATCTTTTCCCGTGCACTGCACTCCTAATTTCGGACGTAAATGACAAGTGAACCTTCCACCAGCCTAAAAAGTGAAGAGCAACACACCCACACAAAAACGTCATTACATAGGCGTACAATTGGAGAAGGAAGGAGAATTTCACTATGCGTACCCTTTTGTAGAATAAAGTTCCCAAAATGACGGAAATAACAAACAAAACGAAGCCAGACCTGAAAGATAAAATATAACCATGCAGATGTCTGTGTATTGAATTTTGTTCAGTGGAAACCCAATTTACATTTTACAAAAAGGAGCTTTACATAAATTTATGTTATTATACTTTGAATCCTCTGTATGTTTTCAGAGTACATTATGGCCAAA